TAATTTTGGTGTTGGCAATGAGTAACTAACTTTGTTTTCATTTTTTAGCTTTAGTAAACTTGTCATTGCTGGTTTCACAGGTTTGCTAATAATATAGGATTTATTATAACAACGCGATTTCCTGTAAAAGTTGTTACTGGTACCGATAATGTGGGTTTATTAAAAAATAATTACTTCGTATCCAAACTATGCATAGCCTTTAAGGCTTTCGTAGAGACTTTGACTTTTATCAGAAATCTAAATCTTTTACGAGAAGTTTTTGTTGTGTGATTTTATCTTTTGCAGGTTTTATAGAAAGCTTTGAGGTTTCGACCTTCATGGAAGGTTTTTTCTTTGAGCAAGTTTCATTTGTTTTGTCTAACAACACTATCAATACCATGTTAATTATTTTTGAATTTCCTTTTTTTTTTTTTTTTTTTTTACACTAACACCTTTTATAGCAGGTTCTTTTCTCTTATGGTTATACCCAAAATCTAACTTTCACTGTAAAACTGATTTTATTGTAATGTGCTTCACGGGATTTTTATCTCAAAGTACGTACGTACGTTGTGAGAGTGAAAGTTAGTCCAAGATCGATCGTCATCGAGGTAGCATGGGACGATCTAACTAAATATGGTTGAAATCTACCAAAACTGTCATTACTGACAGTTCTGACAGATATGGTCACATCGGTAGAAAAATTCGTAGTAAATTAGTATAGAGAAAAAATGTATTTAAGCACAAGTAATTCGCTGTAAATAAATGATAACTCCCCTTGAGTTTCTAATTACGAAAGCAACTTGAGTAGTAGTTTTTCTTAAGGTCCCCACTTATAATACAACGTTAACATAAATCATATACCGTATGTTCTTGTCCCCATGATTCGCAAAAAACCTAGTAATGTTAGTGTGTTAAAAGCGAAAAAGAATAAGATCATATTAGTAATCGACCCCTATTTATATGACACTGTTAAAATTGATTAAGTTTGTGATCCACCCTATAGTTAAAAAACAACACATACGTAATAATTCTAAA